ATATATAATTCATTATATATTGAGTCCCTGGGTATTGCAAATGGTTAATGTGCTTGGTAGCTAACCAAAGTTTGGGAGTTTGAATTTACCAAGTGGCCCTCAGAAAAAAGGTTGCACAGTTATGGCACAAATGAACTTGTCATGAGCAAAATCAACTCCACAGTAAGCAGTTATATATATTCATATATAACTATAAGAGTAGTTCAAGTTTCTAACTGATGGTTGTCCTGCTTGAGGTATGTGAACTTTGAGGGCTCTTATTGGGTAACAATTCTCAAATGCTTTCTTCTCCACCATAATATATGCCATTTAGAAAAAGTGACAATGAGACAAGCTTATCCCTACATATTAGTCCTGAGCTGTCTGGAGAAAAAAATGCCTTTTCCATAATTTCCAAATTAGTTCTTTTTATGAAGGTACTTTGACTTGCAGATCTGCATTTTTTTAGGCAAAAACTGTTTTGCCAAAAAGAAGAGTCCTGTGCTAATCAAATCATTATTTGTTTTTTAAGCCACTCTTTGTTTGCAACATGGGGCTAAATTCATATTTGTTCTAACTAGGCTGAGGTTTTCTAGGCCCAATTTATATGTAAATAGGAAAATCTAACTAAGTCTTGAGTAGCTAAAGAAATGTTGAGAGAAAAAGAAAAAGGACTCATATTTCCTGATTTAAAAATATATAGCTATAATAACAAAACAGCCTGATACTAATATGAAAATAGACACATAGACCAATGGGATAGAATTAAGAGTCCAGAAACAAATTCACACATACATGGGTCAACTGATTTTTGACAAGGGTGCTAAGCCCATTTAATGTTGAAACAATAATTTCTTCAAAAAATTGTGTTGGAAAAAATGGGCTTCCACATGTTTCAAAAATGAAACAGGATCTATGTGGCACAACAAATATAAAAACAATTCAAAATGGGTTAAAGTCCTAAATATTCAATCTAAAACCATAAAATTTTTAGAAGGAAATGTCATTGGGCCTAGCTTTCAACAACAGATTACCTAATATTATAACAAAAGCACAAAAAGCAAGACAAAAAATAAATGGTGACTCAAAAATTTTAAATGTCTATTAATTGAAAGATTACCAAATATGTGAAGACAAACTACTGATTGGGTGCTTTCCCAAATAGAATAGCATTGGAAACCATATATGGGAAAAGATTCTAAATGACCAAATACATATAAAATTTTGTTGATTTAACACAGAAAGGCAAATAACCCAGTCACAAAATAGACAAAGGTCTGGAATAGACATTTCACCCAAAAGGAATTCTAATGGCCACCAATATATTTAAAGATGCTCAATGTTGTTAGCCATCAGAGATGCAAATCAAAACCAAAATTATATGCTATTTCACTTCCACTAGGGTGACTAAGATTAAAATAGAAAAAAAAGAACTAAATGTGGGCAAGGAGCTGAAGACATTGAAACACTCATCCATTCATGATGAGAATGGAAAATGGTAGAGTCATTGTAGGATACATTGGCACTTCCTCAAAAACTAAAAATACGACTATCATCATTGCTGTTAGGTGCCAAGGAGTAGGTTTTGACTCAGAGACCCTGTGTACAACAGAATGAAACACTGACCATTCCGGCCCCATCCTCACTAGCCTTCCTATGTTTGACCCCATTGTTACAGCCACTGTGTCAATCCATCTCATTGAGGGCCTTTGTTGTTTTCTATAAACAGCAAATTGAATTCTGGGAATTCTTCCCCAAACAACTGAAAGCAGAGACTTTCTACCAGCATTTATTGTAGCACTATTCCCAACAGCCAAAGATAGAAGCAACCTAAATGCCCATCAACAGAAAAAAGGATAAATGTGGTACATACATGCAATGCAATATTACTCAGCCAGTAAGAGAAATGAAGTCTTCATATATGCTACAATATAGAGTCCTGGTGTGGTACTGTAGGTTAAGTATTGGACTGCCAACCACAAGGTCAGCGGTTCAAACCCACCAGTTTCTTCTAGGAAACCCTATCCAGGGTCACTTTGTGTAGGAACTGACTCAAAGGCACTTAACAACAGCACAATATGATTGAAGCTGTAAGACACTATGCTTAGTAAAATTAGTAAACTATAAATGGGCAAATATTGTATGACCTTACCTAACACTAGAAAAAAAACACACACATAAAAAACCAAATGTATAGAGACCAATAATTTATATGGGGAAAAAGTCTGTGAGCATTCCAAGATTCAAAAAATAACTCACCAAATCATCCCAAACACATAAAACTTAAAATAACTCTAGCATATAGTGTTCACATCCACATGTCAAAGCTATGACAACCTGATTCTTAGATGCTGAGTGTAGTTCCCAGGGAAGGAGCATGGTGATATCATTCTCACTGCTTGGGGTGCACTGCCCCTTTAACTTGTCTATGCAAAACAAATGCTGGATGCTAGTTTTGCTTTTTGTTTTTTCAGTGAAAGCAGAGGTCCTCTTCAGATTTCTGTTAGTGAAAACAGGTACTAGTGTAGGTCTTTCATAAAAGCAAAGTGGTATAAAGTGAAAAGCAGATGATATCTGTACTTGAATTTAATTAATGATGACTTGTTTGAATATAACAGTATGTTTAATGTTAGCTTACAGGGATCTTTTATGTAGATTTCCCCGTGAGTTTTCAGATATCATTCCCTCATATTTGATTCAATATTTTTCTCTTTGAATGCATATCAAGAAGATCATTTTGATGTATTAATGTTTTACGATTGTATTATTTCGGCAAGTTAAGAATTTTAAGTTTTCTCTGTAATACAAAACCCAAGGTTTAAAAATGTGCACCTTAGGTCAAACATTCTTGTGAGATAATCATGTCATAGTCATTATAATTGTTTACAGTCTTACTTCATGTTGTTGTCAATGCACAAAATTTAAGAATACGTTAAAAAAGGGATCAAATTACATAAGAGCAACTTTAAGTGAAAAGTCTTTTAATAAACAATGAATAATTACAACACAGGTTTAAATAAACTCAAAACTTTGAAGTGCAACAAATGCATTTTATTGTATGCTCATTTCAATGAGAAACATTTAAAATAATAATCCCACATAACAGTGACAATCTTATTTTACAGCGTGTACATCATTTACAGCCACATAACACACAATTTTCATAGATTTTCCAAATTTAATCTTCTGAAGTTAAGAAAGATAAAAAAATTTATTCTCAAGGAACTGATTCTTATCTGGTGCAAAAACAGAAAGATGAACATTATTTGAAACACAAACCACAATATAGCATGAAGTAAAGTTACATATTAATTATGTTGAATAGCTGAGTGTAAACATGAAGCAACTAAAACTTTAAAAGTACACATCATATGCATTACATTTATGAACAGGATTTTCATTAATTGCCCTAAGCCAGCTTGGTATAATAAGCGCCATTTTGATTTGCAGCATGCTAACACAAAGCATTGTAAAAGGGATGCATATTTTAAATTTATACACTGTAAACTGAATTAATCATTTCCAAACTCTCTTGGCAGCATAGTGTCTATTAAATACTGCATAAATACTGCCTTATAATGAAAATGCATGTTAATAATATGGTATATAGATTTCAAAAATCAAAAATTTCAATAATGGAATAAAATCGCACCTTTAGACATTAAAGAAGATTAGAACAATCATACTTGCTAAGACTGTTCTAAAAAAACTTTAGATATTAGAATATTTAAGAAAACTGTGTTCTCTCAATTTAATCTTTATATAGTTAGGAAATATAGTGCTGACTTTGTTTGCAACACTACTGCTGCAAATATTTTAGAAAGCCACATTTGACTCAAATATACTCTTGTCATATATGACATAAGGAACATCAACTTGAACATCAGATAAAAGGGGTATATATATATATGTATATATATACATATATATTCTTTAGACTTCATCACAGAAAGCTATATTTTAAACATCCTAACCTGTGATAAGATATTAGCAGCTCTGAAGTTCTTTTTTAAGTAGTACTGAATTCATCTAAACTTTACCAGTGAAATTAAAAAAAAAATTATTACATAAAACTTTCACCAATTCTGAAATTCAACTTCCAGGCAAAATATAAAAGGCTCAATGATTAAGTGACTGATGGACGACTGCATTTTATTTCCCCACCCTATTTTAAAAATTGCATAAAATTGAGGCTTGCTTTGTCACAGTAAAACATTGTTAAACTCAAGATGTATTCTCTTTTCAGAAACATTTGTCTCTAGTTATGATCAGCCAAATAAAGTAGATGTCTTTGCTTTTCCCCTCTGTAGTTTAACTATGCATATAATACTAGTAAATAAACACTTAACGTTTTTTGCAACCATTCTATGGTGCTTCTTAAATTATTTAAGTAATTTTAAAAGGGCTATGATATTCCCTGTCAATTCAAATATTTTGAGACTTCTAATACAAAGAATGTAAAGTTATGATTTAATATCAAGCTTTGAAACCAGATGATGAGAACAGTTCATGAGATTTTCCTCCCAATTAACATAGCTTCTAAATAGGTTTTTTCTTCACATTGCTCTTACTATATAAGAGCCTCCTTGTGGTGCCTCATAATATGTTGATTTTTTTCTGATGGTCTTCGGAATCCCTTCTTGCAGAATTCACACCTGTGAGGATAGTCTTTTGTGTGTATTGATATCACATGTCGTTTAAAGCCAGATGCATCTGTAGTGCTGTATTCACAATACTCACATTGGTATATCTTCCTTCCAGTATGGGTCTTCATATGCTTCTTAAGCTCATTTTGCTGTCGGAACCCTCTCTTGCACCTTTTACACTTCAATGATTGATCCTTAGTATGAACTGAAAGTATATGTCCACTCAGAATAAATGGATCTGATGTTTTAAAGTCACAGTGCCTACACTGATGAATCTTCCTACCTTTATGGATATCACTATGCTTTTTGAGCTCAGAAGGACGATGGAAACCTTTATCACAGACTTCACATTTGTGAGGAAAATCCTTAGTATGGACAGATATTATGTGCCGCTTAAGGTCACTTGAGTTGGTGCTCTTATGGTCACAATGAGGACACTGGTGTGTCTTGTGTCCTTGAAACAAATCCAGATGACGTTGAAGCTCCCTCTCATCACCAAATGCTTGGGGACAGTGCTCACATTTGTATGGCAAATTGTTACCATGTTTAGACTTAATGTGAGTTTTCAGATTTGATTGATCTGCACACCTGAAGACACAATACTGACACTGATATGGCTTCTCACCAGTATGGGTTCGCATATGCTTCTTAAGTTCAGAAGGATGTCTAAAGCCCTTCCCACACTCAACACAAACATGAGGAAAGTTTTTACTGTGAACAGCCAGCAAATGTCTGTTCAATAGTCCTTGTTCTGCAGTTTCATAGTCACAGAATTTGCACTTGTGCATCTTCGGCTCCTTGTCTCTTAATATAAGTTTATTTGAACTCAATGGACTAGCCTCTCTGTATCTTCGTGTGTATTCTGTAAATTCATGTGTTTTGTCAACTTTATTTATAAGCTTATGGCTTTCTAAGTGGTTGTGGAAACTTACTTTCTTGTTAGTTGTAAAGTCACAATCTGTACACTGATATTTTTTTCTCATCAAATGATCAGGATGATTTTTCATGTGTCTTTTCAAGAATCCCCTGGATTTAAACTTTTTTGTGCAAATGTGGCAAGGGTATACTGTCAAGGGCTGTCCATCAGGACCTATTATAACAGCTAGATAAAAAAAGGAAGTTATAACATTTGGTCAAAGACTATTTTAAAAGGTTTTATAACAAAGGTACTAAAATTAGCTGACACTTACTGTGTGCAAACTATAAAATCCTGTAAGATAAAGTGCACTTTAAAAGCAATTTAAGATAAACTAACTCACTAAAAATTAATGAACAGAACTCTACTATGGGGCTCACCCACCAAAATGTTACATCACATGCACTTTGAAAATCAGAAATAGGCATTCTTTATTTTTGAACCAACCTGAGAATTCTCTTTAAAAACATCTTTTGAGTAAAAAACAAAATGTTTTTACTAAATACCAGTCACATACTTTTAAAAAATCATTTATCAGAATCATACACAATCAGAGCATTGGAGTAGTACTATACTGCAACTGATTCACACTCAAAAAATAATTACACATTTCAAATCATTATAATGTTCATAAAGCACAGTATGTTACCTGTTTGCCACTGCCTGGTTTCTCCCCTTCTTCTCTTCTTGGCTTTCTGCTTAAGTACTTTATTTGTATTAATGCTATCACAAATTTGAAGGTACTGTGCTGCTGTACTACTTCTGTTTTCTAGTGCTGAGTCCAAACTATTTCCTGAAAAAATTGATACATCATTAAATTATATATATATTTTTTTCCTTTTTTTGGTTTTGGTTATATGAATTACTGGAGATGGCATAGCACCAAGTTGTCCTTTGTGGTAGTAAATTTTACAAAGTATACCTATATTCATATGCAATCTCTCATTCACACACATACATACACACACATCTGTGTAAACACTATGAAGAATATATTACCTTAATTTAACTTTAACATATCCCAGTTTATTCACCCTGATGGGATAAACTAACAAGGTGAATTAATATAAGATGAATATAATCTTGGTGTGAGATCAACTTCTTGCAAATGAAAACGGATGAAATTAAAAAGATTTTGAAAAATATATATGTGTCACATTGAACGAACCGTTATGGTAACTATGGATAATATATATATGAGGAGGTTTCAAAAAGTTAATGGAAAAAATTCACTATCTTTTACTTCAATTTTTCCACCAATATTTTGAAGCTCCCTTGTATGCTTTAGAGTAATTTACTTAATGTGAAAAGTATCAAATAAGTATTGACAATAATTTGTTGTTGTTGTTAAGTGCCGTCGAGTCAGTTCCGACTCATAGCGACCTCATATAGGATTTCCAAAGAGTGACTAGTGGATTTCAACTGCTGACCTTGTGGCTAATAATCCAGTGCTTATCCTATAATTCCACACCAGGACTCTACATTAATTTGGGGTGGGTTTAAAATAGGTGTGGCAGACAATTTACCACAAATTTAGAGGAATCAGTTCATGCAGAATAGTTATTAATAAAATCCTAGCTTTAAAAGATGTACTTTAGAGTTTTACAACTAGTTATTCTTCATTAACAAAGCAGTATAAAACCAGACAATTAACTTATATTTCATGCATAATATTCTCTCACCTGATGCTTGACAATCTTCATACTTCCTGGAAACTCTTCTTTCATCTCCTTAAAAAAAAAAAACAACACACACACATACAAAAGCCTAATTCAAAAACTGATGTGCTATGATGATTGTTAGTGGATCACTTCTTAACTTAGAAAATCTCACTTTTATCACTATTCCTTCAATTAAAACTGTTTTGTTGAGTTCTTCTACTCTCACAGATTAGATTATTTCATACAATGAAAATAAGGACTGCTGTCAGAATCCTTGGAAATGCTACAAACAATAAGTCTTACTTTAAATGAATACTAGAAAGGTATTTCTGCAGAGTATCCCCAACTTTGAAGATGCTCAATAAGTTACTGGTGAATTAATGAATCTTTGAGAGAATGAAGCTAAGAAAAATTAATGTACTTGAACATGAAATTTTTTCAAACTAAAGGGTATGACTGGATTACAGTATTAATTAACTAGGAATGAGATAAAATCAACAGAAAGGAAAATATGTAACATGATAAATTTACCTTCCATTCTGCACTTTCTAAAAGGATACACCTGGATTTCCATTCCTTTTCAAAATCCCAAAATATTATTATTTCTGGCTTAAATACATGAAATAAGCTTTTCCAAAAGGGAAGAATCAATTTTTAAAGTATATCCCTATTTTAGGACAAAAAACAAAACTATTTATGGCACTCACTTATTAAGGTAGGATTTAAAATAGACCCTACAGAAAAATGCAATGCATTAAGCAAGGTTTCTTTTAAATGATACCAGCTATGTGGTAGGAAAAAAAAGGCGCCCTCATGGTGCTTTAGGATAAGTACTGGACTGCTAACTGCAATGTCATCAGTTCAAATCTACCAGTCACCCCACAGGAGAAAGATAAGGCTTTCTGCTCCCTTAAAGACCTATAAATTTACAGGAAACCCTATACAGTGTTACTATGAGTAGGAGTTGACTTGATAGCAGTGGGTTTTGATTATGGGATAGGAAAATCATGTAAAGTAACTAGAGATGATTTAGTCCACATTAAGACATTTTCTTATATTAGCCAACTCATGATGGCATTAGCCACCAAATACAAATGTACTTAGCGGGTGAAAAAATACCAGTGTCCTACCATACATCGCAGCCCAGACAACAGGGACAATGTTTTATTAACATCAGCATCCTCTAGCTGTGTCTCAGGAAGAGTTCCTTCTTCTTCCCCTATAATGATATCCATGCAAACTTCATGTCCTATTTCAGCACAATCTAAATTTTAGAAATAATTGTTGGTTTATAACACCAGATGTTTAATAAATGGGTAAAAATTCCAAACAACTTAAATCTTTCAACTGTCAAGATTTCAATTTGGTTAATTAAAAAATATGTATATTGGACACTTTCTGAGGCAAGTGCCACTAGAAGATAATTATCTAAGATAGTTCTTATTCTTCTCCTAGCCCTATGTAAGTGACATTTTAATTATACAGAACTTGTGTGCTTGAAATATACTAACTGATTTTATAGTCCATCAGGTATTACTAATTTACAGAATTGGTATTCTATAAGCTTGTCAAATAGTTCTTTGATTCTCAGAAAGAATTTCCCATAAAAACAAGACTAGAAAGTGGCTCATGCTATTCTACATATTATAGTGAAATATAATGTTTAAAAGTAAAACACTAGTAGTTGAAGAAATTTTCAATTTTAATATCATATATATGTGTATATGTATAGTTAGTTATCTTAATTACTGTTATTCAAGAATATGTGGAAACCCTTTAAGAGGAAGGATTTTACAAGGAAACTTACTGAGGGTAAAGAAGAAAGAATTTAAGAGAGGTTTATTTAAAAAATAAAACAAAACTATACTAGGGGAAATTTTTAACCTAAGATACACACAGCAAGGTCATCAGTTCGAAACTACCAGCTGCTCCGTGGGAGAAAAATGAGGCTTTCTGCTCCTGTAAAGATTTACAGCCTCGGAAACCCTGTTCAGGGTCGCTATGGATCACAACTGACTCGATGGCACTTAACAACAACAACAACACTGAATAAATTTACATAAGATAACCTGTCTAGACTGTTGTTGTTAAGTGCTACCAAGTCAGTTCCAACTCATAGCAATCCTGTATAGGGTTTCCAAGGAGCAACTGGTGAATTTGAACCACTGACCTGGCAGTCCAAACTGACCTTGCAGTCAAGTGCTTATACTACAGCGCCACACCAGGACTCTGTCTGTCTAGATATAAACTATTAAATTTAAAAAATTTACTTGAATGTATGCTTTTGATTCATACACTGGGGTCATCTATTCAATACAAAATAGAAATAGAGGTGAATATCCTTCTTTTCCTAATCTTCCTTTCTTTCCATCAACCAGAAACCTACACTGGTCTTCACTTCCTACACTATGTCCTTTTCCTGACCAATGAGAAAACAAAGAATTTAGAGACAAAATATAAATTATTTCCATCAACTTGTCCGAAATGGAGTTGGAATTCAGCTTCCCATAGCTACTTGGAAAGGAAACTTGAGGAGTAGAGATCAGAGTACAGCATAGGTAAAGCCCTGCAATAGCAAGGTAATGCAGGGAAGTGGAGGCACTTACCCTTCTAGGACTAAACCAAGTAGTGCTGTCTCAACAAAGGCAATAAGACCAAACTAGCCTTAGAGAAGGCCTGTGTTCTTATATACTAAGGTAGGTAGAAAAGAACGAAATGTCTTTATAAGACAAGTATAGCATGGCAGGAAAGGAGCTTTGAAAGGAAAGGAAATCTGGGGAGTTTTATTGAACCTGTGGTCCTCAGCCCAAGAAAGTGGAGTCCATCAACAGTATAGCAAGTAAAGATCCATGTAACATAGCTTGACAGAATACTTACTCAACTAAACCCTCAGTGACAGAAGGAAAATAACTAGTTAAACAACTAAAAGTGCTCACTGTCACACAGAATGAACACCGGCTGTGAAGTTAGATAGATATGAATTCAAATCTGTCTTCCACACTTAATGTCAGAATTATCTTTACAAATCACTTAGCTTCACTGAACCTTTTCCCTTCCATAAAATAGTAATATCATGAATTTTGCAGATGAGTTGTGAGAATTAAATATGGAAATTTTTATGAAACATATTCAATAATGCTTATTATAAAGAAGGTATTCAATAATTATGTATTTGAGTTGCTCTGAAATTAGGAACTGTATTTGTCATCTCTGTATTCATTGTATGCTGTTGTTGTTAAGTGCTATAGAGTCTGTTCCGACTCATAGCGACCCTGTATAATGCTTCTGAGGAGCAGTTGGTGGATTTTAACTGCCGACCTTGTGGTTCAAAGTCCAGTGCTTGTCCTACAGCACTACACCAGGAAAAATGTTTCAAGTTCGCTGATTTCAACAATACACGTATTCATATGTGGTCAAAAGAACACTTCCCCTTTAAATAATTTACAGCACAGTGTCAAGTTTACTTTTTGAAATGTTTCTAAATAGTGCTTCTTGTTGTTGTTAAAGTGCCATAGAGTCGGTTCCGACTCATAGCCACCTTGTATAGGGTTTCCGAGGAGCAGCTGGTGAGCTTGAACCGCTGACCTTGTGGTTCAAAGCGACCTTGCAGTCCAGTGCATTAACTTGCAGCGTCACACCAGGACTCCAGACCTCTGAAATCTGTATTTTTTAAAAAGAATTCATATGCATAATGGTTGCTGATAAGTCATTACAGTGCCTTTTAATTGTCTTACTGATATCATCTTCTTCTTGAGAAGAATCTTTAACTGCCATGTAAACCATCTTCTCCCGCTGCATTCGACTCTGGTCAAGCACTCCTGCTACAGTATGTCCACTGGTGTACTCACTCTCTGTGACAATTTCTGTTCCACCTTAAAAATTAAAATACATATCAATATAGAGAAGTTTCATTAAGCAATTCTTCAAAATAATGAGTGTACATGAGAAATATTTTCACGATAAGAAAATATTCCAATATAAATTTCAAAGCGTCATATAAATCACACTTTAAACTTTCAGTCATTACTAAGAAATAATAACCACTGCTAACACATATCACACTTATATGCCAAGCACTATATAAATCTTTGGACTCCTGGTGTGGGTGCTGTAGAAACAGCACTGGACTTTGAACCACAAGATCGTCAGTTCAAATCCACCAGCTGTTCCTCAGAAACCCTATACAGCTCTTAACAAATGATTTCACAGCACTGAACAATAACAATATAAATCTTTAAGGAGCCCAGGTAACGTAGAGGACTACAAGGTGAGCTGCTAACCACAAGGTCAGCAGTTAGAATCTGCAAATTCTGAAGGAGAAAAATGAGGCTTTCTAAGATTTATAGCCTCGAAAAATCCTATACAGGGCTGCTAGGAGTTGGAACAGACTCAGTGGCACACCACAACCACATTTTTAAGGTACTTGGGTGGCACTAACAACACTGCAGAAGAAAAGTCTGGTATTCTGTTTATGTAAGATTTTGTTGTTAAGTGCCGTTAAGTCAGTTCCGACTCACAACAACCCTGTATAGGTTTTCTGTGGAGTGGCTGGTGGGTTTGAACTTCTAACCTTGAGGCTAGCAGTCCGATGCTTATCCTGTAGTGCCACACCAAGACTTCTATATAAGATTACAGTCATTGAAAACTGTATTAATGTGGATCACCATGAGTCAAAATTAATTTGATGGCAATGGGTTTGTCTTTGTGCAGTATCTATCATTTACAGCTCTTTTATGGGTTAGGACACAGAGGTATAGGAAAATTGAATAACTCACCAAAATTCATTCAACTAAAGGCAGAACCAGGATTAAACCTAGCAGTTTGTCTCTAGAATCTTAAGCATTCACTATAAAAGTATGTCGTATTCTAAACCAAACCCTCTCATTTTGATATGGTTAGCTGAAATATACTGCTTATGCTTAAAATAATTAATGAATGATTTATTGTACATTCCTATTTTGTATTCAAATACATTTTATATACTAGTCCCAAAGAAACCTATAAAAACATTTTGTACATTGAATTTCACAATACACCCTAAATATAATAAGAAAAGGTTCTAACATTTAACTATTGTAGAATTAAATTAGTGTTTGTACCTATTTCAACATCATCTTCAGCCTCAGCTTTAAATATATACACTTTTATTACTTCTGAACCAAACTCATCTTCTTTAACATCTTGTGAACCATCACTGCTGATTTTTAATGGTGTGTTTCCCATATGTTCTAATTTCTCCCCAACATCATCCACTGTGAAATATAAAGAGGAAAATTATGTCACTCCAAAGCCATCACTGACATTTAGCGAATGTTCGGGCTTATGTGAAATGTGTTAACTACAAACAAACTCTATTCACTTGATGATCTATTATGTAGTCATTAGAATTGTTAGTTTCAAGAAACAACAGTATATAAGATCATATATACTACATTATCATAATTACAAGAAAGCTAGTCACAGATGTCAATTTATAGATATGAAATATTCACCAACCATATAGCTTTAATTAAGCTGATTTTTGGAAAGATTAAATAATCTACCATCACTTTCAATATTTTAATTTAAACAACACTAAGATTAAAAACAGAATAATTAGAACATAGACTATATACTCATAAAACTATTTTACATAAATATTTCCCAAATTAAACAGTAATTGTTCCTAAAACCAATTAACATAGAACACAAAGATTTAAAAAGAGAGGAAACACAAAAAATGTCTACATTATTTAAGTTCTTCAAAAAGTATAATAAAAATAGATCTTAGCAAACATTCTAATTTAAATTGATTCAATGGAAGACAACTTCAAACTGAACATTCTATATATTTCTAGATTTAGCAATGCAGGCCATAACCTTATACAATAGTACACACTTGAGAACAGTACTTACATTTTAAGTATACATACAAAATTTGACATTCTGCTATATAGTCTTTAAGCACAGTATTATTATCACCTGAATACTAAGCATAAATTATGCAATGAATACATAATATTGATCAATTTTTTCCTCTGACCATAAACAATGCACTCTCTCCAAATATTATATACCAATCAATTTGTTTTGCTTCAAGGAGCATTTCTATAAAAACTGAAATATGAAATGTAGTAAATCTAAAAGCTGCTCTTCATATATATCATCTGTTGTTGTTAGTTACCTAAAAATAAAGTGCCATAAATGCAATATAAATTCCTGAGACTCCTGAATAAATCAAAACAGAACTAATGAAACATTATAAAGTGACATTGTTGTTGTTGTTGTTAGGTGACATCAAATCAGTACCCACTCATAGTGACCCTATGCATGACAAAACGAAAAACTGTCCAGTTCTGTGCCAACCTATGTTTGAACCCATTGCTAGCTACTATGCCAATCTACCTTGTTGGGGGGTCTTCCTCTTTTGCTCAGACCGTCCACTTTACCACACAATATCCTTCTCCAGGGACATATTATCTCCTGATAATATGTCCAAAGTAGGAGAGATGAAATCTGGCCAATTTCACTTGCAAGGAGCATTCTGGATGTACTTCTTCCAACACAGATTGGTTTGTTCTTTAGGCAGTCCATGTTATTTACTTATTCTCCTGTAACACCAAAATTCAAATGCATCAATTCTCCTACTGTCTTCCTTAATCACGGTCCAAAGTTCACATGCATATGAGGTTTTTGAAAATGCCATGGCTTGAGTCAGGTGCACTTTAGTCCTCAAACTGACACCTTTGCTCATGAACATACTAAAGAGGTCTTGTGCAGCATATTTGCCAAATGCAATATACACCATTTGGTTTCTTGACTGCTGTGTCCATGAGTGTTGATGGTTGATCCAAGCAAAAGGAAGTCTTCTGACAACTTTAATATTTTCTCCATTTATATGCATGTTATTTATTGGTCCTGTGGTGAAGATTTTTGTTTTCTTTACATTGAGATGCAACCCATAACAAAGGCTGTGGTCTTTGATCTTCATCAGTAAATATTTTAAGTCCTCATCACTTTCAGAAAGCAAGGTTTTATCATTTGCATACTGCAGGTAGTTAACGAGACTTCTTCAGTCCTGATGCCACATTTTTCTACATATAATCCAACTTCTCGGATTATTTGCTCAGCATAAAGACTGAATATGTGTGGTAAAAGTGTACAACTCTGCGCACATCTTTCCTAATTTTAAACCATTCCGTGTTTCCTTGTTCTATTCAAACAACTGTCACTTGGTCTATGTGCAGGTTCCTCATGAGCAGAATACTCATTCTCCACAATGTTGTTCATAGATAGTCATGATCCACATAATCAAAAGCCTTTGCGTAGTCAGTAAAGCACAGGTAAACATCTTTCTGACATTCTCTGCTTTCAGCCAAGATCCATCTGACATCAGCAATGATATCCCTTGTTCCACGTCCTTCTCTGAATCTGGCTTGAACCTCTGGAAGTTCTCTGCCAATGTATGATTGCAGTCATTTTTGCATAATTTTTAGCAAAATTTTACTTGCATGCAATATTAATGATATTGTCTGATGGTTTCCACATCCAATTGAGTCATCTCACTTTGGAAGAGACACAAACATGGATCTCTTCCAATCATTTGGCCAGTTACCTTTCTTCCAAATTTCTTGGCATAGATGAGTAAGTGCCACCAGTGCTGTCTCAGTTTGTTGACAGATTTCCATTTGTATTCCATCAATTCCTGGTGCCTTGCTCTTTTCCAATGCCTTGTCAATGCACCTTGGATTTCTTCCTTCAGTATCATTGGCTCTTGATCATATGCTACCTCTTGAAATGGTTGAGCATCGACCATTTCTTTTTGTTACAGTGACTCTGTGTATTCCTTCCATCTTCTTTTGATGCTTTCTACATCATTCAATATTTTGCCCAAGTTGTTTTTGTTGTTAAGTGCCGTCGAGTTGGTTCTGTCACATAGCCACCCTGCATAGGGTTTCTGAGGAGTGGCTGGTGAGCTTGAACTGTCGAACTTGAGGTTCAAAGCAACTTTGTAGTCCAGCACATTAAACCACAGCGCCATACCAGGACTCCTAGAATCCTTCAATATTGCAAGGCTTAATTTTTTTCTTCATTTCCCTCACCTTGAGAAATGCTGAGCATGTTCTTCCCTTTTGGTTTTCTAACTTCAGGTATTTGCACATTTATTTATATTTGACTTTGTCTTCTAGAGCTGCCTTTTGAAAATTTTTATTCAGATCTTTTACATCCTCATTTCTTCCATTTGCTTTAGCATCTCTATACTGGAGAGTAAGTTTTAGAGTCTCCTCTGACAAATTTTGATCTTTTCCTTCTTTCTTCTTAATGAACTTTTGCTTTCTTCCTGTAGAATGTTCTTGATGGCATCCCACAACTCTTCTGGTCTCTGGTCTGTCTAATGCATCTAATCTATCCGTCAGATGATCTCTAAATCCAGGTGGGAAATGTTCAAGATCATATTTTGGCTCTTATGGACTTGTTTTAATTTTCTTAATTTTAGCCTGAACTTGCATATGCACATTTGATAGTCAATTCCACAGTCTGCCCCTGGCCTTATTTTGGTTGATGATATGGAATTTGATTTCTGTGCATTCCATCAGGTGAGATCTAGGTGCAGAGTCATCTTTTATGTTTCTTAAAAAGGAGAATTGCTATGAAAATTATTTGTCTTGCAAAATTCTATCATGGGTTCTCCAGCATCATTTCTATCAACAAGACCATATTCCAACTACTGATCCTTCCCCTCTTAGTTCCCAAATTTTGCATTTCAAACACCAGTAATGATTAATACATCTTTTAAAAAAATATTATGATTATTATGAACTGAGTGAGAGGTTACATTGGCGTTACACCAGCATTTCAATGCAATGATTATAATCTTCTCCATGCATCATCATTCAACTGTATTTGCTTCTATTCCTTGTTTTGTTTTGTTTTTAATATACACAAAACCACTCCAGAACATATAATTACTTAAACAATAAAAGAGCAAATTTGGCAAGCCCGCCTCCTGGCCACCAGCACACAGCCTTTCTCTTTCCATGAGTCTAGCTAGAGTCCTCATCTCTGCCTCCATCTCTGGTGTTGCTGCATCTCTGAATAGGGTCGCACATTCCGCTTGTACTCTTCTCCCTTGATGGTCCTAGGGTCCTCTGAGGACTATAAGATTAACCACTCTCCTGTTTTAGTTACAAAACTTCTACCTTTACAGTTGTGACAGTCGCAATTGCTCATGGTAACAATTATTCACTATTGAATCATAAGAAATCTTATCTCCATCTCTTTTCACCAGACCTGTCTAGACAAGATGAAAACTATTCAGTGGGGACTCTATCTTTACCTGTACACTCTTAAACTAAACTCCCTCTTGAAAACTTGTAAGCTAGTCACTTTGTGCCTTTATCACCCCCTCATTTTAGATAGCCAATGTCTAAGTTACCCGTCCCTATCTATCCTCTGTTGGTATGTTGAGCTATTACATCCATAAGTATATGTCAAGTTCATCAAATTGTAGCAATTTACAATCCTTTCCTTTATCAAAAATTGTTTTTTTTAATCTTCCTCTAGTCTAGTCCTGATTATTAAGCCATCAAGGAGAGGTCAAAAGGGTTCTTGTTGGTTAAGTGCCATTGAGTCAATTCCATCCCATAGCAACACTGTATAGGGTTTCCAAGAAGTAGCTGGTGAGCTTAGACCATCAACCTTGCAGTTCAAATGACTTTGCAGTCTGACGTATTAGCCCACAGTGCCACACCAGGACTTCAAGGGGTATTATCTGCAAATTTGGGTGTTCTCGTGCATGTCCCCTCATTTCATTTCAGCTGGATGCTTCACTCTTAGCTCTAGCATTCCGCGGCTATGTCCTTGCCCATGGCCTCAGGAGTCCCCAGCTCTCACCAAACTTTGGATCAACCAGCCCTTCCTCTTCTCTTTCTCTCAATCTCTCTCTCTCTCTCTCGTATCTCCAGGTCAACAGAAGTCTATGGAATGTGGATGAATTCAGCCCATTTCTTCATTGTTGCTTTTCCCCCTCTTCCACTCACCAGTAGGTCTACTGATCACCAGCAAGCTTACATGCCTACTCATGTGTTCCCAGATCAATACATCTTGATTGCATGTCTGATCAGTTTCAGAATGAAAAAGTTGGTAAAATTCATAAATTTTATCATCACTGGCTTTAGTGGTTGTTGTTAAGTGTCGATGACTGGGTTCTAACTCATAGTGACTCTGTATAGGGTTTCCAAGGATTGGATTGTGAGCTTGAACCATCGACCTT